TTTACCTTTACTGTTGCTCTGATGGGGTATTACAATGAATAATACTGTTTCAAAAAATTAACGTTCTCGAGTCTGACGCATCCCCTTCAGAGCGGTGCAACCTCTCACCTGCCCATTGTTCCCGTTTTTTTTTTTTTTTTTTTTTCGTCAGGCAGGCTTATGTTGTAACTTTATGGGAAGCCTCAACCAACTTTGTGTTATCTGATATTTCTAAGAGTAATGAACACATTTTAATGACATTTTTAGTAGAGGTGTGTTTTAACCTAACTTAGATGCCGATTAGACTTTCGTAGCGATGCGGACTATGGTTCCAATCCAGGATTTCTTTTTTCCTAACTCAAAAAGTTATCAACAGATTTTGATTTAAAAAAAAAAAATTACCTGAGGTGTGCCTTAGCCTAACATATTCCATAAAATTTTAGTGGTGATCCGGATCATTTGGCAATCCTACCCTCCATTTGGTGGGGGGGGGGGTTGTATTTTCGAAATATTTTGCTCATAGATCAAACTAACTATATATGATGAAAACAGCAAGAAAATTAAATACTCCATATGAATGGAATATCATGTTCATTTAATTGTATGAAAAATTACTGTTATTGTTTTTGGACGTTAGTCAGATTTTAAAGATTATTCCAAAAGATGAAGGTTGATCTCAGCTTACGTGAAATTCAATAAGCTTTCAGAAAATTATCTCTTTTTTTCATCTATACTCATTGCGTCACAATTGCCGATTTTCTAAGGTGTCGGTTGACATCAAAAAGAGCTGCTACCACGTAAAAAATAACGGTTGGCCTTGAAGTTTTCAGGGGAGAATGGGAGGTTCTGAAACTCCATAGATACATAAAACTCGATTTCGGTAAGAAGGGCGAAACAATGGCTCAAAAATAACCAGACGACCCTCTTCAAGTAATCCTTTAGTAGTTGATACCACCGGAACTGCCTCCTTTGATTTCCTCCTTGATTTCCTCCCTTGCTGTAAACATGGGCTAAAAAGTAAATAAATAAATAGATATTTCCCAACAACAAGGCAGACGTCATGGTGTGGTATTACCC